GTTCATCTGGAGAGCAGCAGAGGCACAAGTTCTGGCCAGAGCGGTTAGTCGGGCACTGTGGGATGCCTTCTGGAGGCCAAGAACATCAACTTCCTCAACACTGGGTCTACACTATCATAAATTCGACCATGCAAGGTCGAACTTTGAGTTACTCCTTGAAAAAACACTGAAATCAACTTCATTGGCCTTTAAAGTCGACAGAGCTGGCTTGATAGTGCGCACATGATGGTTAGAAAATTGACTTTATGCAGCTAAGTATGACCTAAACTCCTAGTGTAGACCAGGTCTTATGAAACAAATCTTTAATGTTAAATATATCTAGGGATGTAAAATTTGTATTAATTGGCTAATTGAAGAGTCAATGCAATTTGCATCGACTATTCGATTAGTCACTAAGGGCGCTTCCTCCTTTGAAGTGTAGCAACAATCCTGAGATTGTTATACTTCAAAATTTTAGCCACAGCCCCAGGGCAAAAGTGCTGCGGGGAGCATGGGGCCAGCAAGGTAGTCTCCCACTGGCCCCATGCTCCCCATGGCGTTTCAAAGTGGCAGTGCTGTGTGGAGCCTGGGGTCAGCTGGGAACTCTCCCGCTGACCCTGGGCTCCATGCAGTGCTATTACTTTGAAATGCTGTGGGGATCCAGGCATCAGGATCCACATGGCATTTCAAAGCCACAGTTCTGCATGGAGCCTGGCATCAGCAGGGGAGTCCCCAGCTGATCCTGGGCTCCACGTGGCGCTGCCTCTTTGAAACGCTGCATGCAGCCTGAGGACTCCTCATCTGGCTCAGGCTGCACGCGGTGTTTCAAAGCAGCAGCACCTCATGGAGCCTGGGGTCTGGCCCTGGACTCCTTGCGGCACTCCCTCTTGGAAGCACTCCCTTCTCTTTCCCCCTTTCCCTTGCTGCCTCTTTCTGATAGAGGCAGGAAGGGGCGGGGGAAGTGACTAGTCAACTAGCACGTCAGCTATCCGATAAGCAATCATTCACGTCCCTAGATCTATCTAGTAATGGTGAAAACCTACATGTAGCATTTGGAAATCTTTGACCAAAGACTTCTAATGCATTAAGTAATGGTTCAGAAATAAAAAATTGTAGGTTTTTGTGCCTTTTCCTATCCACAGAAAGACTGAGTCCATTGATGTTCTTGATGCTGTTGGAAGTAACATTGTGGTGAGCACGAGAACTGGAGAAGTGATGAGGATTTTACCAAGATTGCATGAAGACATCAATGAAGAATGGATCTCTGACAAAACAAGGTATCCGCATATATGTACAGTTCTACAGATCTGCAGATAACTGCTTCATCTGCAGATATATCCGTGGACCATTTTTGTGGATTGTGTGTGCATACCGATTTTGCAGCATGCAGGGCTCTCTGTATGCATTTAAAGGGGCATTTTCATAGTGTGCCAGAAATACTGACTCTAGTACTGACCTTTGAGTACTACATTTTGCATTTTAAATGTTTACTTTTTTTGGCTGACAAATATGTTTTTATATATGCTGAATATTTCAACTTTCCCCTTTCATTTTATTCCCATTAAGAAGGTTCAATTTTGGGTAATTTATTAGTCTGTCTTCATGATAGATTATTCATTGACACAACTGTTTTGTGATATCGGAACAAAAGTCTAGTTTAGGTCCTATTTCACTCATTCTGTAGACCTCTGCATCACAGTTAATATTACTGGGACAAGTAGGATTACAGAGATCACTTGTGGTTGTCACCTGGTGTGCTGATCTTACTACTGAGCCTTTCTACCTGCTGGAGGAAGGGCTCCACAATACCCTGTCCTGCCGGGCCAGATGCTCTGATCTTCCCCAGCAAAGGCACAGAGTTGGGGTAACAGATCCCAAGCATAGCAACACAGACCCTGAGATCCACTCTGCTCTGGGAAGGCTCAAAGGGACTTGACACAGCACCAGGTGCACAACCCCAATAGGATCAAACCTCCAAATAAATCCATCTTTCTCTGTATAAAAGTTATACATAGAGAACTCATAAAGATGTTTGCCCTCCTCCCTTCCCCCACTATCAATAAAAGAGAAAAGCACACAGCTGTTGATTCTCCCCAGGTATCAATTATTTACACTGGGTTTGATTTAAAAAAAAAATCACTCTTGTTTCTTAAGTATAAAAAGTGGAACTTCAGTGATTGTAAGTGAAAACAGACAGATCAAAGTAAGTTACTAAGCAAAAAATAAAACATGCCAGCTACACCTAATACATGCAAATTCTTACCCTAACAGTAACTAATCATCTTTTTCACAAGCAAGGCAGCTTTCTATATTGGGCCTTATTCTTCCACATCTTCAGTCTTAGATGTTTCCAGCAGGCATCTGGGGTGGTAAGTGAGGAGTCTGGGAACTGCTCCAGTATTGGGTTTCCCACCTTTGTATTCCCTTTGCCCAAGGTGGGAATTCTTTGTGTTCAGTTCAGACTTTTCTCACCTTAAGTGGAGAAGTACAAGATCCAGAATGGCTTCCATCATCAGGTGGCCTGGCTCATACTTTGTCAGGACCAACCATAGTCCAGGCTTACAGGAAAAACAAGACTATTAACAGGTCATTGGCTTGAGTACCAAGCCACTATGTTTCTGGAATATTACTAATGGTCCTCATTAGCATATCTACATTTATGAACTGATTCACACTTCATACTTTTAACTTCACATACAAGAATGATACATATGCACAGACAGAATATACACATCCAGCAGATTGTAACTTTAAAGTCATGTAAGGGAATTTTTGCCTAAAGTGTCTTTGTTATGCATATTAAATAAATAAATTAATTAATGGAGATTGCCTATCTCCTAGAACTGGAAGGGACCTTGAAAGGTAATTGAGTCCAGTCCCCTGCCTTCACAGCAGGACCAAGTACCATCCCTGACAAATTTTGCCCCAAATCCCTAAGTGGCCTCCGCAAGGATTGAACTCACAACCCTGGGTTTAGCAGGCCAATGCTCAAACCACTGAGCTATCCCTCCCCCGATTTTCATAAGCCAATTTTCATCCCTCCCCCAATTATATTCATAAGCCAATTTTCATAAAGCTGTTATGGTTTTGGCTTTCTTCATCCAGGTTTGCTTATGATGGTTTGAAACGCCAGCGGCTTATTCAACCAATGGTCAAAAATGAAGAAGGACTGTTTGTTTACAGCTCCTGGGAAGATGCCCTGATTCGTGTTGCTGGAGTGGTAGGAACTATTTGCATCTCTCTCTTTGTTTGTTTAAGGGATATTATAATACTTCCGTGCAGCAAATAATGAAGATTGTAGAGAACCATCCACAGTTAACATCTTACCGTGTAAGAATAATTTTGGAGAATTATACCTGATTAGAATGCAAGTTGTTTCCACTTACCAAAATGCATGAATAACAAAAGTTACTCTGAATTCAAGTGTGTTTTTGGAGAATTTTTTGGTCCTCCATTCTGGAATAACTTTATAAAGATTTCCTCATTACATATTACGTACAATCTTATTGTTTATGTGTTTAGGCAAAGTACTAGATTAAATCGTATATTTAATGATTATATGAGGCTAATTTTTCTTGTCTCAATCATACTTACTTAGTTTTAATTTAAATAGGATATTGTAGGACTCCTGTAGAAATTCAGGAGAAAGTGACTATTTTTAAATCTAATTACTACGAGTGTCTGTCTCTGAAGCCTTTTACATGGAATTAGATTAAACTGTGCTATCTTTCCCCACTCCCCACACACACCTCACAAAACAGTTACATTGTGGATTGGGTAGGTCCGATCTAAAGACTCTTCTATGCCACTAATTCTGCTGTTTAGGTGTTATATTGCAAGAATGTTTCGTTGCTCTTTAGTGATTATATCTGCTCTTATACATTCATTAATCTGTTCTCATTTTATAGTACTTTGCACGGTAGGAGGGTGGAAGAATTGTTTACTACTGAACTGCAGTTTTTATTTTGTTTTTAAAATGAAAAGGTCAACATTCTGACTTGCCATTGTAGCATTTTTACAGAAGACCAATAATGTGATCAATACTTTCTCAGATCCTATCTCTGCTTCATAGCTTATTTTGAGCGTGCGTGGATGAGAGCAGGCACGCTTGTTTCCAGTTATTTATAGATGTCACACATCTTGTTCCTCTCTGTACAGCTGCAGGGTGCCCAAGGTAAGGATGTGGCTGCGATTGCAGGAGGACTGGTGGATGCAGAAGCACTGGTAGCTCTAAAAGACTTACTGAATAGAGTAAATTCTGACACTCTGTGCACTGAAGAGGTCTTCCCTAGTGCTGGAGCAGGGTGAGATAAAAGGCAAAGCTTGTACTTTTCTTAATTATGTTTTCCAATGAAAGAATATCGGTATATTCTTAAGAATCAGAGGGGTAGCCATGTTAGTCTGAATCTGGATAAACAATGTGAAGTCCTGTGACACCTTATGGACTAACAGATTTATTGGAGCATAAGCTTTCGTGGGCAAAGACCCACTTCGTCGGTATATTCTTAGTGCTCTGGCATATGAATTGTCCAGTAGCCCTTGGCATAATGATAAACATTTTGTGTTAAAATTCTGCACTCTGCCAGGGCAGAGACACAAAATAAAATACTAGACCACATCTAGAATATTATTGTTTTGAGTTTGCATGTTAGTGGATGGAGAGGTCTATTATTATTTTACAATACTAGAGGTGCAAATCTGAGAAATATAGGGCAGCCATTGTTCAGTAGTAGAATACAATTGCCTTTTGCTGTCCCATTAGATTACCTTGGTATAGACTGATTTCTTTAGCTTTACTCCTGTGTACTATTGTGAGAACTGTACAGACATACTCTGTGTAGCTACTTAAATCTAACAGTGAAGTTGCATTTATCAGGCACAAAGGCTGAGAGCCTCTTATATTGATAAGATAGCAAAAAATGCCTACATCATAGTAATATAATAGCTTTCGTAGTTCTGCTACTCATCTTCAGACGGTTGTATTTTTTTGAGATTTGATTTAGTGCTACTGACACTGAGAAGAAAAAATAAATGTGGGGCTCTTAGTTAACTTTTCTCATCAGTAGCAAGGATGACTCTGTACATCTTCTTGTTCCCACTCTTCCTGTTTTCCTGACCTAAAAGAATTTCTGTGTTTTCTTATATTATAGCACAGATCTACGTTCTAACTATTTGCTTAATAACAAGATTGCTGGAGTGGAGGAGGCAGATGTCCTTCTTCTGGTTGGCACCAATCCACGCTTCGAGGCACCCTTGTTTAATGCTAGAATTAGAAAGAGGTTTGTATCTTTATGGGTCTGAGGTAGCCCATACTTACAAATTAAGGGCTTCAGTAGGGTTCCATGTGGGTGCAGCAACATTGACTCAGGCAGATCCATTTGGAGGATGTAGATATAGTGTGCGATGTATATGTGCACATACAGACAACATGGTCGCTTTTCTTCTGCCCCCCTTTAGTGCACACATAGATTATATGCCATTAACGCCCTCGTAATATTAATGGGAGTTACCTGCATCAAGAGAAGAATGAACAAAAAATCCTCAGATTTAATTTTTATAGAGAATTACTGAAGCATAGTCATAAAAGGACATTGCTTAGAACTCTCACTGCACAGAGTAAAATTTTAAAATTATTGTTGCAGTAGTAAATGTAATTTGATAACTTATAAAAAGTGGTGATCTAGTTGACTTCATTGCTTGGGAAAATAGGAATAAGTGATTAACTTGTGTTTAGAAATAAAATTGAGGATTTAATCCATTTTGATTTGGAAAAATATATTTAGGTTTTAAACGTAACTCCATTGTTTATCCAGTTTACTATATTCTAGATTTTAAGAGGATTCAAGAAAAATTTACGTAACATTAATACCATATTTTATTAGTTGTTTACTAAGAATGTGCCATGGTAATTTTCCATAACTGGCTGTGATAAGGTAGTGTCCCGGGGAGCCAGCTGAGGTCACTCAATTTGGGGTGCACCGCAAGAAATGCGACCGCCAATCCTGTGATTATTCAATATTTATAGTCCCCAAGCCAACACCGAATAGCTTCTGTATTTTCTTATTGGTGAATCAGAAGTCCAAAACCACACAATTCCCTTAAAGTATCCAGCTTTGGGGCACAACCCAGACAGCCCAGCTAAATAGACAGTCCAAAGGATTGGACATGTTACCTTCAAGTCAATTAATATTTTAGACCTTATCCCAAATACACACTTATAGCTTTTCTTACTAACTAAACTAAGATTTATTAAAGAAAGAAGAGAGAGTATTAGTTAAAAGATCAATATACGTACATACATGATTTTAATTCTTGAGGTTCAGTTACAAAATAGAGATGGTGATCTTGTAGTTGCAAAACGTTCTTTTAGAATTTAGCTCATGGTTATAGTCCAAAATCCACATCCAGGGTGATTCCAGCTAATGACAAGAACTTCAGTCCTTGTGGCTTAGTTTCGCCTGTATGAAATATCAAGCAGATCTGAGACCCTAAGTCAATGTCCATTAAAAGGGCCCCAGGATATCCTGGGATCTCATTTCTTATGGCTTGCAGTTTTCCACAAGAGCATCCAAGCAGATATGAGATAAAAAAGGATCCTGTCCAAAGGGACTTTTGACATGATCTTCTGTTTGCCAAACATCATGGCAATGAACATAAGGTAATTTATCCATTAAACAGTCCATAAACAGCTTACCATAACTTTCAAAGAAACATAGTAATACGTCAGTCAAGTTTCATCATAAATGTTAATATTCCCTTCTGATCTTGAAGTAAAGCTACAGTAACAGATGAGGATTGTTTTAGCCTACTGTACTAGCCCCACTCGTCACCTAGCATCTTCTCAACAAGTCTTTAAAGGTCGACCCTGGGTCATTCAGCCTATAGCTGGTTAACTCTTTCCAGCCATATGCTACATTTTAATCAGAGGACTAATATTTCAATCAGATGACATCATACTGGTTGGTCATCAGCTGGTTGGGGTAAAGTAAGTCACAAATGGCAACATCCCTTATCTTTAGTTTCAGTTGCTCTTGCTCATATTTTTTTTAATGTTAAGTAATAGGTTCCACTCTCCTAATAATCGTGTTAGATTCAAATATACTTCATTTAGTTGCCTGTGAGTAGATGTAGAGGGCAATACCGTAAGCTCTTTAGAGAGGCAAACATACCCATTTTTTTGGAAATCCATGAAATATGTAGAGTTAAATTTTTTTGCAAGCCTGAGTTTCCTGGTTGGCATACTGTTAATGACAAAACATACTCCTCACTGTTTTGATCCACTTAACTGATTTTTTTTTTTTTTTTTAAGCTGGTGATTATGAAAGTTTGATAGTTTTCTATAGCTGCATCTGGTGGAATTTTTTTATGCCTTTTTATAATTTAGTGTAAAGAGAGGCTGCAAAAAACTAAACAAATCTCTGGAGGCTTGTTTTGTTTAGTCTAAACCTCTCAACCCACTGCCGAAATGGGCAATGGCCTAAAAGTGGGAGAGTGAGTGCACCTGACAGAAATACAGTAATTCCTCATTTAACACTATAGATATGTTTCAGAAAATGATCATGTTAAGTGAAAATGTGTTATGCGGGGTCAATTTTCCCATTGAAAATAATGGAAAAGGTGGGGGTTGCGTTTCAAGCGGTGGTGTCGGTTAGAACTGGGACATAAGGTTGAGGGGAAAAGGGACTGGGTTACAGCAGGGAGGGGCGGTGTTTGGCTCTGGGGAAGGAAAGGGGAGGGGAGGGGGATTGGGTTGGGAGTATGCCCCTGTGACGGGTCTGCCAGGACCCGCACTGCGTCTGGCAAAGGGGGAGAGAGGAAGCCAGGGAATGGCGAGCCGAGCAGCTGCTGGCGACGGGCCAGCTGGGGAAACCCAGCCACCGGCCTGCAAGCGGGGGGCGGAAGAGAGGGGGCAAGGTGTCTGGCGAGGGGGAATCAGCGGGAAACAGCGTGGCGAGCGGTGAACCCTCCACTGCTTTGCAGGGAGGTGGGGGAAGCCCCGCACAGCCACCATCAATGGGCCGGCTGGGGAAAGCGTGTTATTCTGGGGATGGTTGTGTAATTCAAAAAACGTTCCCTAAAAAAAATCGTGCTATTGTGAAAATGTGTTAAGCGGGCATGTGTTCAATGAGGAATTACTGTATATAGGTTACATAGTTTTCCAGGCACTCTGGCAAACCATAATCATTCTTTGTGTGGTTAAGAGCTGAGCTGTAGGTCAAGCAGAAGAATATATTTAGTAGCTTTCCAAGACTACAGTAAACCAAAGATGCTCTAAAATAATAGTCTAGTCCATATACGCAGATGTTTCATCTAAGGCAATAGGAATGATCACAGAATATGTATTTTTACAGAAGTGAAACAGTTATAGTGAAAAGCTTGTCTACACTACAATCACAAAATTGCACTAAATTGTACAAGTGCAGAAAAAGGCAAGAATTTTTATGTGTAGAATTCTGTCACTATTCCTTATCATTAGAACCATCATTTTACTGGATTTTGCTAACACGCTTTCCTGTAGCTTAACAGTATAGCTGTTGGCCTGGGGACATCTGAAATTTGAATAACTGAGCACTCAGATAAACAGAAATGCTATTTTTGAATTGCATTTTCACTGATCTAGTTCTGCTGTTTCTGCTGAAACAGGGTTAGATCTTGGATCTGGTCTATCTGAGCAATTAGTAAGTGGCAAGATGGCATGAGACCCTACACAGCACTAGCCTAATGCAGATTAGAGATCCCTATGGACTGTACTGATGCACATTAACAGTTTGTGCTTTAGTCTGCTTCCGTCTCTCAGAAGATGAGATCAAAGTGCATTAACAGTTTGTTGATGCACATCAACAGGGTCCAAATGTTCAGTTAGTTCTTGGCAGGCTAGTATTGGGTAGACTTGCCGTGCAGTTGCTGTGAGCTAATTGTGTATACAGACCCCCATGGCTTGTGCTGCTGCAGCACTTTAAGCATAGATAGCTACACTGCTTCAGACACTTCCTTTGTCAACGAAGGGGTTCTCCCATCAGCATAGGTAATCCACCTCCCTGAGGATAGGTAGCTAGGCTGATGGGAGAATTTTCTGTCAATTAGCATTGTCTATGCTGGGGGTTAAACTGGTTTAACTGTGTCATTCAAGGGTTTGGATTTTCACACTTCCTGAGTAACATAGTTATACTGATCTACCTTGTAGTATAGACCAGGCCTCAGTAACTGTAGGTAGTGGCTTGGAACTGTTATGCAAATACAAAATAATTGATTAGCACTAAGAGGTTAAATGAAGTGATTAACACGGTTGCACAGAAGAGACCACTGTGGAGTTGGATTTTTTTTAAATAAATAGAATTATATTTTGTTGTTTTATTTCTAGCTGGCTTCACAATGATCTGCAGGTGGCCCTTGTAGGCAGTGCAGTGGACCTGACCTACACATATGATCATCTGGGAGATTCTCCACAGATACTCCAGGACATCGCTTCAGAAAAACACTCATTCATCAGGGTACAAGCTTATTAATAATGTACCTATTCAGATATGTGAGAATATAATTTTGTTACATGTGTGCAGTCTTTAGAAGCTGTTTTTGTTTCATAGCATTCACTGATGTAGTAATGGTTCACAAGCAGGGATTCTCTATAAGTTAACATGCTCATCATAAAATTGAGGTATGAAGGTTCTTTCCAGTGTGTGAAACTGAAATGTTTGTGATCCTAAGTTTCTGGAACATGCCCTCTTCTGGGTGAGCTGAGTTCTCCCTTCCAGCCACTATTGTTTCTAGTTCAATAATTTCTACTTACCAAGGCCCAGAAAAACATTGGTTGGTCAAGATAACGTAAATCATTGCTATAGCCCCATCTGTAGTTTTTTGCAAGAGGTAAAATAGATTGATCCATTTCAAAGCTGCAGCTCTACTTGCTTGAAAGGATAGGGTTAAAAGCACTGAATTTGTTTTCTTTCATTCTACATAATACTGTGTAAATACAATTCATAAATTCTTTGTTCTTTACCAAAATTCAATTTCATTGCCTCAGAATGAGAATTCATTCTTAAAAAATGTTTGGTTTTGTTTTTCCCCTTAGGTCCTTAACCAGGCCAAAAAACCCATGGTGGTGGTGGGCAGTGCAGCACTTCAGCGCAGTGATGGAGCAGCTATCCATGCTGCAGTTTCCACCATTGCACAAAATGCCAGGACCAAAAGTGGAGTTGGTACTGACTGGAAAGTTATGAACATCCTTCATAGGTTTGCTCTACAGCATTTCTACAACATTTCTTTTACCACCCTGTGATATATACTAAACTCTCTTTATGCCAGGTGTGAAGACTGACAAGACTCATACTTGGCATCAAGCAGTACCTAAAACTGAGACACAATATAACACAGCAGAAAAGCTTCCATAATCTGTTTCATGACTTATCAAACATTTCAGATAGCCAGTGGGACTGTTAACACAGGTAAATTTGGATTCATGTAGCACTAAGTTGGCTATATGTCCTGCTAGGTATGCCAGTAATGCACTAGCATACTTTGGCAGTAGCCAACTAGTGCTACTTATAAGCAAGTACTCTAAACATAATGGAAAGGTAAAATATCAGTCGTGCTTAAGAAGACTGTTAATTCTTCTCCTGCATTGTACAACTCTCCAGATGACATTTGCCTTTTTCTAATCCAAGTGATCTACTGAATGTCCCGTTAACCATGTGTATTTTTTTTGAACACTAGATAATTTCCAGATCTTTCAATATCAAATAGTGCTTTTGGTAGTCACTTAAACTACTTATCAAGATGTCCTAATGAGCCTGTTTTTGCTGTCATGCTAACTATGATTTGTTCCTAAGAATCCTAGTTCTCTCTAATCTGTTCTCTGCTTAAGACTACTGAGATCTGAAATAACTGTTTGTCAGTAACTCCACTGAAGTCAGTAGACTTCCACCAGTATAACAAGGGAAGAATTCAATTCTCTGAATATAAATATAAAACACTGATGATGGTAGTGCATTTTTAAGTGTAGTAGTTGGTCTCTTTGTGTAGTTTCTTTAATATTAAGGTTTCCACGTATGCATTATAGAAACATCCATGCTGAACTTGTAATCATACAGATATACAAACATAGATAAGTTTATGTAACTCTTTTTAATGTGATGGGAGGGCTCTCAAAATGGCTCAAGGATATAAATGTCAGTTTCCTTTCTTTAAAAACCAAAGTACTTTCAAATTCTATATGGAGAACAAGCTGTGTGTTTCCCCAAAAGGAGTAGCCTCCAAAACTATCCAAAAAATACAGATCCAAGCTTAGATTTCTTTTCTCTACCATTACCCTGTAATAACAAATAGCAAATCATCATGGGTGAGTAGATTAATGCAAGGCTACATTAAAAGGATAGTCAGCTTAAAATTGTTTCTCTTTTAAACATTTTCCTACTTTTACAAGTAACATCTAAGATTACCAATAGAGATGTAGCTGTGTTAA